GAACTCTATTGATTTAGGTTTCACATTTAAGTCTTTGATCCATCTGGAGTTAGTTTTTGTGTATGGTGTGAGGTACAGATCTTACTTCATTTTTCTGCAAATGGATATCCAGTTTTGCCAGCACCATTTATTAAACAAATCTTCTCTTCCCAATTTAATGGATTTAGACCCTTTATCAAAGATCAGCTGACTAAAGATTGATGGATCTATTTCTAGGTTCTCAATTCTATTGCATTGGTCTATGTGTCTGCTATTGTACCAATACCAGGCAGACTGCTAACCAGAAGGCTGGTGGTTCAAACCCACTAGCCACTCCCTGGAAAGAAGGTTGGGCAATCTACTTTCATAATGATACTGCCTCGGAAACCCAAGGAGGGGTCTCAATGAGTCGGTCTGACTCTACGGCAATAAGTTTGGTTTTGGTTTTTGGCTATATAGTAGGTTTTGAGATCCCGAAGTGTGACATCTCCTACTTAGCTCTTTTTCTTCAATAGTGCTTTGCTTATCCGGGATCTCTTTCCTTTCCATATAAAGTTAGTGACTAGCTTTTCTATATCTTTAAAAAATTTGATGGGATCTAGATTGGGATTGCATTGAATGTATCGATTGCTTTGGGTAGAATGGACATTTTCACAATGTTCAATCTTCCTATCCATGAGCATGGGATGTTCTTCCATTTATGTAGATCTCTTATGGTTTCTTGAAATAGTTTTTTATAGTTTTCTTTCTACAGGTCTTTTGTGTCTCTGGTAAGATTTATTCCCAAGTATTTTATCTTTTTACTAGCTATTTTAAATGGTATTGATTTCCTTATTTCTTTTTCAGCAATGTCTTTTCAGCACAGAGGAATCCAACTGATTTTTGTATGTTAATCTTGTATCCTGCCACGATGCTAAATCTCTCAATTAGTTCCAGAAGATTTTTTACTGAATCTCTTGGATTTTCTAGGTATAGGATCATATCATCAGCAAATGGGGATAATTTGACTTCTTATTTACCCATTTGGATGCCTTTGATTTCTCTTTCTTGCCTTATTGCCCTGGCTAGGACTTCCAATACAATGTTGAATAGAAGTGGTGATAGAGGGCATCCTTGTCTGGTTCCTGTTTGCAAGGGGAATGGTTTAAGTCTCTCTTCATTGAGAATAATGCTGGCTGTTGGTTTTGCATAGATCCCCTTTATTATGTTCAGAAATTTCCCTTTTTGCTGAGAGTTTTGATCAAGAATGGGTGTTGGATTTTATCAAATGCCTTTTCTGCATCAATCGATATGATCATGTGGTTCTTTTTCTTTGTTTTATTTATGTGGTGGATGACGTTGATTGTTTTTCTAATGTTGAACCATCCTTGCATAACTGATATGAGCCCCACTTGGTCATAATGAATGAGTTTCTTGATATGTTGTTGGAGTCTATTGCTAGGACTTTGTTGAAGATTTTTGCACATGTATTTATGAAGGATATTGGTCTGTAGTTTTCCTTTTGAGTGATGTCTTTGCCTGGTTTTGGTATCAAGGTTATCCTTGCTTCATAAAATGAGTTAGGGAGGGTGCCATCCTTTTCTGTGTTTTGGAATATTTGAGTAGGATTGATGTCAGTTCTTCTCTGAATATTTGGTAGAATTCTCTGGTGAAACCATCTGGGCCAGGACTTTTTTTTGTTGGTAATTTTTTGATGACCTGTTCAATTTCTTCTTTTGTCATGGATTTGTTTAACTTTTCCACATCAGTCTGTGTTAGTTTAGGTAAGTGGTGTGTTTCTAGAAATCTGTCCTTTTCTTCCAGATTTTCAAATTTGTTGGAGTACAGTTCTTCATAGTATACTGATGTTATCCTTTTTAGTTCAATTGGTTCTATTGTGATGTCACCCATTTCATTTCTTATTTGTGTTATTTGTATTCTCTCCCTCTTTTCCTTTGTTAAATTTGCCAGTGGTTTGTCAGTTTTTTCACTCCTTTTAAGAAACCATTTTTTGGTCTTGTTGATTTTTTCTCTTGTCTTTCTATTTTCTGTTTCATTGATTTCTGCTCAAATCTTTATTATTTCTCAGTCACATTAGGCCAGCCCAAGGAGGGACCGCCAAAGGGTATTAAGTAGATCAGCAGTGGGGAAGGAGAAACACTGGTAGAACTGGTAGGAAAAAGAGAGGAAATAACAGGTAACTTATAGTTTTTAAGTATAACTTGACTTCATAGACTTTGAACTTAATTATCAATTTCCCTTTATTAGGGGTATGCTTTACTCTCAGCCACAATACTCTAAATTCATGGCTCTAAGTTCATATCTTTGAAATCTTCCTACCATGTTATCTTCTGGATCAGCATACCTTCTCCTGCTTCCCTTCTGTTCCATGTCTACCAGGCAGCTCCATTAAGTACAAGCTGTGCCTTCTTTGGGAATCCTGTTTGCATCCCCCAGGCAAAATTAGGCTCCTTTTCTCTTTCACCTCCTCTTATACAGGAATTTTTCTTGTAATGGGAATTTTCATGATATAAACACAGTTGGTTAATTGGGGGACGTGATTGTCTTCTAAAGACAAATATTGGTAATAACCGGAACTAACTGTGGCTATATTTTTTTTCTTGAATAACAAAGAGTTCATAAAAGAGGTAAATATCTTTTTTTAAGAAAATAAATGTTTTGAATTAATAATGATGGTGATTTGCACAATGATTGTTAGATTTTATAGCTATCTATTTGAAATATTAAAAAAATCTTTAATAGTGATAATTCCAATGACAAAAATCATTTTATTAATATGAATCTTAAATTCTGTATCTCCTAACTCCATTTCTTTCCATTGACCTAACCATTGTATAAGAGTTATTATATTATATAGTTCAGAATTCAGTTTTACAACTCTACAAATAATTGATTGTAAAATAAAATAATTATTTTACAATCAATTAATAATAAACAAACAATTTTCTACAATCAATTTTTTGTAACACTTGTTTCTTTGCCACATAATCCTACTATTACAAATCAGACTGTACTTGCATGTATGACTATATAACTGCAAATCAGTCTGGATATATCTATCCAATGTAATACATTATGTTGCAACTTCAGTAGCAAATCTGTCACTCACTAGATTGTGTTCTCCTGCTCTCCTTCAGATTAATGATGTTGTCTTTTCATCTCTGGTCTTCAATTTAACAAGTGACTATGTATGGTATTACATCCTAATATGCCCCCATTCCCCATGAACGGCATATACGTTGCACAATGGAAGTTCTAGCACTCCAAGTGTAAAGGTAACAAGAAAGTGAATATAAAGTAAGTACCTCCTGCCACAGTTAGTTCGCATCACCACTCAAAAAAAAAAAAAAATCTACTTTTCCTTTCAGGAATCCTCATCATGATGTCCATGTGCCGAGAAGTGCATGTGTATGAATATATCCCGTCCATTCGGCAGACAGAACTTTGTCACTATCATGAGCTGTACTACGATGCAGCCTGCACACTTGGGGCATACCACCCATTGCTCTACGAGAAGCTCCTTGTGCAGCGCATGAACATGGGGGGCCAGGAGGATCTGCATCGGAAGGGGAAGGTGACCCTGCCGGGGCTCTGGGCCGTAAGCTGTCCTGCACCCAACTCCATTCCACACTATTAACAATGGACTTTGGGGAATCAATGTGCAATAAGGTACTACTGTTGTACTCTGTGTCACAAAAGAATACTTGAAGATATATTTTAGACAATGTAGTCTTGAGTCTTTAAACTGTAATTTAGTGGTGGCCATGAGAATTCGTCTCTTCTTAAGCCATTTATTACTGCCTTGAATATAGAAACAGAATTTAGGGGGAAAAAAAAAAAAGCTCAAGAAAGATGCAAAAAAAGTGGGTAGCTAGAAAGAAAATAAATGTATAGCCATGGGTATGACACCTGCAAAAATGTTAATCCTTTGTTATGCCACAGGTACCCATTATCAGGCTTGTTTTCAACTACAGATTTAGGGATATACCTGAAATTGTGAAATGGTTATACCTCGAAATATCCAGTCCAGGTTGAGATATATTATCTATAGCATTTAATGTGTCACTTACACATACATTCATTGTTAAGTATTCTGGATTTTATGATGATTGTCTGATTTATTTCTTAGATGTGTTTTTTTAACAGTAAAAATCCCCCACATAGCCAACAGAGTACATGTTTCCACACCATTGCATTACCCATCTCTGCTTGCCTTTCCTATGGAGTATTTTGCTTTTTGCTTATCAGGACAGATTTCTACCACCATAAAACATCAATCTTGAGCAGTCCAAGAAAAATCCAGCCCCTGAATAGCTCCAGCGAGACATTTTGTTTCCTTACAACATTTCCTTCTAAGAAGAGGAGAGTTAGTATCACCCAGACTGAGAGGCACATCGCCAGGAAGTAAATAGGGAGTCAGGGGCTGCAAGGCTGTACTAGACATTTCCTGGCTCTGGCTTTTCTGCCTTATACCACCTCACCCATGAGTCCACCTCACAGCCCTTTCATGCTCTCAGTTATACACACACTGACAATTTATTCCAGCACAGCAAGGGAGAGCAGGGGCCACCCCTTGTTCCTTTCAGTGTTGAAGGAAAGACTACAGAGCCACCACCCTTTGCTGCTGGGGTGCACAGCTAGCCCTTATACAGATGTTTTGCAGGTTAATGTTAGCTATTAGGAATAGCAGTTCACACTGAATTTTAACTAATTCTTCCTGCAGACAATTTAGGAATCCAACCCTCGCTTTCACAGATAAGTTTTATGTCAGCAGCATGATGAAGCCATATCATTAAATACAATTATGTGAAAGCATTGCTTTTTAACAACATGGGAAACACATGCTTCAGAGGGAAAAGCAGCTAGAGGGGGAATTTTCATCCCAATGTGTTAGCTATACTCAGAGTTGGATTTATGTTTTATGTTTTTTATTTTTTTCAATCTCAACTTCTGCCACTGCTACATTGAAGAACACAATTTTTTTTTTCCTATAAACATAGCGAAACATTGACATTTTGGATTACCTTAATTAAACATACTATTTCCATATATAACAAAAATAGATCTCAGTGGGACAGTTAAGACTTCTTGGCATTGACAATAGATAGCAGCTTAATTAAGTACATTCTTCCTTGCAAATGTATGAGTGTTAGGAGAGTTTAGTGGGAAAGTTTTTTGTTTCAGGATTTTTTTTTTTTTTCTTCCCAAAGTGCTATCAGTTTAGCAAGGATGGTTTACAGACACTGGCAGCTTCTGTTTGGCTCATCTATTCATCAGATACTGGGTTGGGTAGAGAGATGTCCTATGGCTTAATGTAATAGTGAGGTGTAGGGTAATGATAAAGTGTCAGTCATTGACAACATCCAATAGAAGTCCATTTTGGGAGCTTTGTTTCTATGCTATGAGAACCTACCAACCACTCCTTGGAAGGAAGGTTGGCCAATCTACTTCTGTAGTGATACTGCCTTGGAAACCCAAGGTGGGGTCACTATGAGTCGGGTCTGACTCGACGGCAGTGAGAAGAAACAGGTAATTTTGTCCTATACATTAACTAAAGTCTGAGCAGACATTGTCAGGCCACTTTTCTTACTTCTGAAAAAGCTTCAGCTTGTGCATGTTTATGCATGTAGTAAGTTTAGAAACTACTGAATACTAGTGAGGAAGTTCTGAATTGGGATCAACAGGCCTCCTTGGAACTTCTTGGATATTCCAGGCCTGTGTCTTTAAATACCCATGTCTATTTAAGCTCCTTTTATACTCTTCCCAGGGGATTTACTTAGGGACATCCCTATTACCCAGAACTACCCCCTTTTGGTGACATGTGAACTTGACTAGAGGATAATTTATTAGCTCAATGTAAATATTCAAGTTCAAAAGCCCCAGAAAATACTTCAAAGCTATTTAATAGCATTTTGTTATAACACATGTAATTTTTGAAAGTACTTTCAGTCTCACTGAGGTTCCAAGAAAGACTGAAGAGCACAAAGGAAAATTTAATGAAAAATCTTGAATTTATTATGGTTTTAAAGACTCTTGGGAATCAGGGTCTGTTAAACATTCAGAAAATGTAGTATACATATTAATATACTGTCAGCTGGGTATTCTTCTATTTAAAAGTTTAAATTGTTTAGTCTCTCAAAAATGTTAGACTAACATGAAGACTGCTTCTTGTATTATCCAAATGGCTCCTAAGTGGCAATATTTTGCCAGATGTTACTAAATCCCTATATGCCACGTTTACTGATCTGTGGTACACACATGGCCTTCCTGGAGCATAGCTAACAATAAATAACATCCTATTGTGTTTCTTGCACATTCTTGCCTTTCTAAAACTCTCCACCCTCTCCCCTGAAGGGAAGCTGATCAGATCTCTATGGTACAACATGAAGCCATTAGTTATCCCTTTTTTTTTTTTTTTTTCACTCTTAGGACTAACAGATATCATAGTGTTTTATATTTTGAAACATTTCCACTTTCTGTTATCACAAAGAAACAAATAATGATCAAGAAAGACTACCCACCTACAACTAGATTGTACCTAACACATCCATCACACCAGTCACGAAGGTGACTTTTAAAACGTGGCATTCTCACTGTCATATCGAATACCAATGCTCTTCCTATGTGTCTGATCTTCCCTACTAAGCCCTTACTTTTTATCTCCCTTTATCAAGAACATTTGCACTGGACAATGAGGTGACCAATTAAAAATTGTGTATAATAAGCATCAGCGATATGCATTGAAATGGGTTTTTACACAGTTTTGAATTATTGGGTCTTCTGTTGTCTGTCTGAATCCAGAGCTCAAAGTGCCTGCTTCAGAAACAACACTCTCCTGGGAGATGGCCTCTTCCCACATGTCTTGTGCCCTCTGGCTCTAAGCCACATACTTAATCAAACCTGGACTTTCCAGTAGTGTGGGAGTTAAGGTTGTCTGCTGAATTGGCTGGGCTTGGGTTTGAGTGGCTGGGCTCTGAATGTAGTTACATGATGAGACTGGTAATTAACTCCATGGTGGAATCTACCATGAGCAGCTGAGTAGCTCCCTTAGGGATGTGGTCTGCTTCCAGTATAAGAAGATGCTTTGAGAAAGGTCTCTGAGCTTTTGGCACATCTGGATGCTGTATTCGGCCAAGTCTTCATCTCTGTGGCCTGCCCTGTTGTCTGCCATTTGGGGGACTATTAATGGACTTGAATTAGTAGCCTGCTGTGTTGCTTGACAGTTTTGGGACTGTGCCATTTTACTTGTCAACCTTGGGTTTGTCAGCCTCACCAGCCAGTAGCTGCCTGAGTTAAGAGAAGCCTGTAGCTTCAGTGGGCTGGGAGCAAGAGGCAGAGCCAAAGCCCAAGGTTGAGGGGTTTTCACCCAGCCCCTATTGCTGGCACTTTGATTTGAACTCAAACTTCTAGCCTCCTAAACAATAAGAGAATAAATCCCTGTTTGTTAAAACTACCCATTTGTAGTATGTCTGTTATAGCAGCACTGTTGTTGTTGTTATTTTGTGCCATCAAGTCGGACCCAACTCATAACGACCCCTCCTTGGGTTTCCGAGGCAGTATCACTACGGAAGTAGATTGCCCAGTCTTCCTTCCAAGGAGTGGCTGGTGGGTTTGAACTGCCAGCCTTCTGGTTAGCAGTCACGTGCCTTAGGCACTATGCTACTAGAGCTCTAGAGAACCAAAACAAGGAAACATCTGTGATTATAGCCATATCAGAAGGATGAAAGCAATGGGAAAACAATTCTTACCATTTCTAAATTTGGAAAATAAAAGTAATAAAAGATAGCTTCTTAAAGCTATCATGTTGTTGTTATTGTTGTTATGTGCCGTGGAGTCATCCCCGACTCATAGCGACCCCTCCTTGGGTTGCCAAGGCAGTATCACTACTGAAGTAGATTGCCCAACCTTCCTTCTGAGGAGTGGTTGGTGGGTTTGAACCACCAGCCTCCTGGTTATCAGTCAAGTGCCTTAGGCACTATGCTACCAGAGCTCCTCATAGGGTCACTATATTATGTATTTATGAGCCAGTTCTTTCTGATGAAACAGATTATACCTTATGCTATTGACTGACCCTGCCAGGCAGGAGCCATCTACAGCCAGTGAATTAATTAGGTCCTGTTTTGGTGCATTAAGTTGACTCAGTCTCAGATGAGTAATGGAATGTAATGGAAGAAATATGTATGCACAGAAACATGATTAAAACTCTCTCTCACTTTCTAGCCTTTCTTATAAATCAATGCACAGTGCAGGTTTCAGGTGGGAGGTCAGCATTACCTAGCCCCATTTCTGCTTAGCAATGAAAGATAGGAGTCCCTAGGTCATGGAAATGGTTAACATACTCACCTGCTAACCAAAAAGTTGGCAATTCAAGTCCACCCAGAGTCACCTTAGAAGAAAGGGCTAGTGATCTACTTCCAAAAAAGTCAGCCATTGAAAACCCTCTGGAGCACAGTTCTGTTTTGACAGACATGAGCTCTCCATGAGTTGGAATTGACTCAATGGCAACTGCTTTGTTTGTTTGTTTTTCTATGGAAAGAGAAGGGGAAGGTGCAGGAGGGAGAAGTATTAAGAAATGAATGATTGACTATATAGGCCAAATAGTTTCTCATTATATTCTATCATACTGTCTATTTCAGT